TCACTTTCAGCAAGCAAAGTTGTATCGTCTGCATATCTCAGGTTGTTAATGATTCTTCCTCCAATCCTGATACCACATTTTTCTTCATATAGCTGAGCCTTAAGGAGGGACAATGTGAAGTTACCAGGCAAAGGGAACAACATGTACGATGGCTTAGAGATCAGCTTTGGGAATAGCATGGGTCTGAGTTTCAGCCCCTTACAGTCTGTGTGGCCTAGGGCAAGGCACCAGACTCTTCAAAGTTTCCTTCCAGTTTATTTTTCTGTGCATTTTTTCTTTGCCTAATTGAGATAACAGCCCTGCAAAGTCAAGAATATTATCTCCATTGTATAGATGAGAAAACTGAAGCACAGAGGGGCTAAGTGACTTCTCTAAGGTTGCACAGTGATCTCAGGCAAAGAAAGTCTAAAACCCAGGTCTTCAATACCCAGCAGGCCTTTCACATGGCCTGTGTCCTCTTCTCTCTCCTTCTCTGTGTCCAGATGTGTGACCGGGGCCATGTGGCCTCCAACCTCCGCTATTGCATCTTGGTCAGTGGCACCATGCTTCTGGTGGCTGGGACACTCTGCTTCGCCTGGTGGAGTGAAGGGGATCCAGGGGCCCCTCATGGCCAGCTGGCCTCACCCACTGGGCACCCTGCACCTGAGGCCTCCAGCCCCCTGCTCAGGTCGGTCAGCTTCTTGTGCTGTGGTGCAGGCTGCCTGCTGCTTCTCTCTGGCCTGCTGTGCTCCATCAAGGCCAGCACCTGGAGACCACCCCAATGGAACCCATACCACCTCTCCAGAGACCTGCACTATCTTACTGTGGAGACCTTGGAGAAGGAGAGCAGAAGGTCAGTGGGGTAGGGGCAAGGGGGAGTCTGCAAGTGGGGTCCAGTCACAGTATCTGTTATTGGCTCAGCAGATTCTCACAGGGTTCCTCCTCTGGAGCAGGTCTTGCCCTGTGCCCTGAGGATGTGGAGACTGCTTAGCATAGTCATGGAAGAGTCCAAAGCCCTATGACAGAGGTATGACAAACCAGAGTAGTTAAGACTATGAGAGAAAGGTGAACATGGCCCTGTGGAGGCATGGAGAAATCCAGGAAGGCTTCTTATAGAAGGTGGCAGCTGAGCTCAGTAAGGTAAGGAGCAAAGTAGTGTAGTGGTTAAGAGCTCAGGCACTGGGATCCTCTCCTGGTTCTATCACTAACTGGCTGTGGGCCTTCAAATAGGCCATGCAAGCTCACTAAGCCTCAGCTTCTTTATCTGAATTAAAACAATAATAATAATAACAACAACAAACCCACCATCATCTAGTCAATTCCAATTTATAGTAATCCCCATTGGGTTTCTAAGGTGGCAAATCTTTATGGAAGTAGATTGCCTCATCTTCCTTCTACGGAGCAGCTGATGGGTTTGAACTGCCTACCTTCTGGTTAGCAGTGAAATGCCGTGTGCGCCGCACCACCAGAGCTCCTTAATAATAACAACAATAATAGCAAAAGCTTGTATAGTACTTGCCGTGTGCCAGGCACTGTTCTAAGTACTTTTCACGTATTAACTCATTAAATCCTTACAGCACCCCTCAGAAATAGGTACTGTTGTTAGCTCCAATTACCGATGAGGACCCTGAGGTACGCAGGGTGTTAGAGCCTGAGCTTGCACCCAGGAAGTCTGGCTCCAGAGTGGGTGCTCTCCACCACTCCCTACCTCAGGGGGCACTTGGGAGAATAACATGTTATGTGGCTGTAAGGCTTAGCCCAGTGCCCAGCATACAGTTGTTGTTGTTATGTGCCACTGAGTTGGCTCCTTGGGTTTCTGAGGTGGTATCACTACAGAAGTAGATTGCCCATCCTTCCCACTGAGGAGTGGTTGGTGGGTTTGAACCACCAGCTTTCTGGTTAGCAGTCAAGTACCTTAGGCACTATGCTACCAGAGCTCCTCCAGCATACAGTAGGTAGGCAATAAAGGACAACGTTTCCTAAGCGGGTAAGGTGGAAAGAGAGAGGCCTTTTAGGCAGCAAGAAGAGCTTGTGCAAAGACATGGGGCTGGGGGTGGGAGTGGGACAAAATCTGATATTAAGACACTGTTTTTCAACCATTTTTTCATTATTGCCCCCTGCCTTCTTTCCCTGAGTGGCTCAAATAAATTCTAACTTGACTACTAACGATTGGCAGTTCTAACCCACCCAGTAATGCTGTGGAAGAAAGGCCTGTGATCTGCGTCTGTGAAGATTACAGCCACGAAAAGCCTATGCAGCAGTTCTAACCTGTAACACAGGGGTCTCCATGAGTCCGAACTGACAAATAGCAGTGGGTTTTTGGCTTAAGGAATCTTCTTAGACATTTTTTCTTCTCCGCATGAAATTTTAATACCACAGATACACTGTGTATCTCTTTATGTTCTGTACATATATCTGTGCTTCATACATGAAGAGTTTCACACACACACATCCCCTTCCCCCACACCAACCACTTTGCCCTATGGTGACTACATGTGTTATACGACGCTTAATGTTTCTTCATTCAACCAAATATTAAGTATGCCTACATCTCAGGGGTCTGAAGACATCGTTCCTAGTCTTTCTGTCTGTCTGCAAGGTAAGAATGATTGCTATCACTTACAGACGAGAAGGTAAGGCTTACGCAGCTGGAAAGTGGCAGAGCCAGCCAGCTACCAAGCTGGCCTTTCTCTTCCCACTCCACTCTAGGAGCACTGTGTTCTGGTGTATGAGGGTCCCAGGTTTCTGTGAGCTGCCCTGGGACCTAAATGTCCTTGTTCCCTTTGTTCAAGGGAAAAATGCATTCTGAGTTCAAGAACATAACCAATTATTCAGCCTGCTGCCCTTAAAATCAGAGACTCTACAATATCCAGTGTGTGCCACTGAGTCAAGCTTTGGTTTGAATTGACTATTGGAGTGAAGGGAAGTGCCTGGGGACTGTCTGACCAAACACTTGCTTCTCTGATGAGATATCTGGGCCTCCAAGAGACCAAGTGAGCTACTTGGTCACACTGTGTGTTAATGGTCAGTTGGAGCCAGGCCAGGCCCCAGAACACTCCAGGTCAGAGCCTGTTCCTCCCACTGCATAGGCCCAGGAGAGGTGGTGGGGTGAGGATGAGAATGTTGTCTGTACACAAAGCCATGTTAATCCAACAGAGTCCAGGCCACAGCTGTACCTGCCAGGTGGGGCCCCTCGGCCCTTATTCCCAGCAGAGCAGGTCAAGAAGGAAGTCCTCCTTGGAGGCCACAGGGTGCTCCCGGCTGACTGGGCTCTGGGACCCCAGTCCTAGATGCAGAAACAGGTGGCTTGGTGTTGGAGAGGCTGTGTCTGTTAGCAGACCCAGATCACCTCTGCTGCTGGCCAGCCTGGCACCTGGGCCCTATGGAGAGGCTGCTCTGCTATTCCTGGCCTCAGGTACCTTGCTCTCTGGGGGTGCCTGACTGTGGGTAAATTCCACTCAATGATAAGGGCCTCCTGACAAGTTTCCACATATTGTTGTTGTTAGGTGCCATCAAGTCGTTTTCAACTCATAGTGACCCCATAGACAGAGTAGAACCCTCATAGGGTTTTCTTGGTTGTAATCTTTATGGAAGCAGATTGCCAGGTCTTTCTGCTGTGGAACTTTGGATGGGTTCAAAAGGCCAACTTTTTGGTTAGCAGTCCTCTGCTTAACCATCTGCACCATCAGGACTCCTTCAGTTTCCTCATTTATCACCTGTTTATTCTTTCATGCATTTAACCAATATGTATTGAGCAACTACTATTGGTGAGGTCTCATTCAAGGATTTGACAGTGCATCAGTGAATAAAACAGACAAAATCTCTGCCTTCAGGGAACTTACATCTATCTATTTATTTATTTATTATTGTGATTGGGTGGAAATTTACAGAACAAATTCACTTTCCATACAGCAGTTTACATACACTTTGTCTCATGACATTGAGACAATGTCTCAACTTACCACAATGCAACAGCTCCCTTCCCACTTCCTCCCTGATAGTTACCTCTCCCCTGTGTCCAGCCCTCCATGCACTCCTGCCCCCTGAGCAGTCTCCCTGTGCATAAGCATACCTTCTTTCTCCCATGATTGTTCTCTCCAAGGAATGTATCTACCTCAGGTAAATGATTGTCTTTTGTTTGTCTGGAAGCCACAGGTGCGGGTTCAATTCCAGACCTGAAGGGCAGCTAGGGGCCATAGTCTCAGTGGTTCCACCAGGCTCTGTCGGACCAGCAAGCCTGACCGCCCTCCCCCCTGCCCTTTTCTTTTCTCCAAATGAATTTGAGTTTTGTTCCACGTTGTTCTCCCTCTGTAAGGGAGCTTACATCTTAAATGCAGTCCCTAAATGAGGAGGTTTGACATAAGGCCTCACAGGGGTCCCACCCTCAGTACATACCGCAGAAAAGTCATGGGCTGATTCAGAACTGGGGTTTCAGTCTCTGCCCCTTCTTCCTTCTTCTTTTTTGAGTTGGGTGAAAGTTCACAGAGCAAATTCATTTTCCATACAGCAGCTCATACACATTTTGTCTTATGACATTTACTGCAATTCCCCACAACATAACAGCTCTCTTCCCACTCCCTCCCCATAGTTACTTCTTCCCTGTGTCCTTCCCTCCCATGCACTCCTGCCTCCCCCCCCACACACACACACAGCAGTCTCCCTGTGCAAACACGGCCCTTTTATTCTCCCATGAGTGATCTCTCCAAGGAGTGCATCTACCTGATATAAATGTTCAGCTCATATGCCTGTCTGTTGTTTGTCTGGAAGCCACAGGAACGGGTTCAATTCCAGACCTGAACGGTGGCTAGGGGCCATAGTCTCAGGGGTCTCACCAAGTTCTATCAGACCAGCAAATCTGGTCTTTTCTCTGTCCTTTCTTTATAAGCTAGCTGTGTGACCTTGAGCAAGTCACTTCACCTCTCTGAAAAATGCATTCTGCTGTTCACTAATTGATTTGAACCTCATCTGGCTGGCAGGTAGGTGTATGGATTAGGCCCATTTTATAGATAAGAAAACAGATTTAGTGAGATCAGATGCGTAGTGGGGAGATGTGATAGGTGGATTTAGCTTGAGCTTCTCAATCAGGCAAAGCTGGGGCTTTGCAGCTAGTTGATGCATGACCTTTACTCATCTGCACAATGGGAGGTCATGAAATTGGATTGGAGAGCTTAGTGCTAGGCAAATAGTATCCCTCTCCCCTTCTATGATTGCTTGCTTGACTCAACTGAAGGGCAGTGAAGCACCTGTCCCAGTTCTCCTGACCCCCCAGGCTCTGCCCCTGGCTCAGTGGAATGGAGACCACAGGGGCAGGACTGTCCCACATGCCACTGCAGGGTGCTGCATCAGAAAACACCAGAATGGCGGACCCCTGGATTGTGTGATGCTGCTGCTCTGGATGGGGCCCTGTGCTCCCAGAAGTCCTGGCATTCTGGGCCATGACCAGGGAGACCTAGGGCTGGGTGGGCCCTGCTGGCCACTGGAATGGTAGCACATGGGGTGAGGGCCACTCCACGTCTGTCTGCTAAGCAAGCTTCCTGCTATGGCTGCGCTCACCAGCATCTGTCCCCTGCTCTGCCAGCTGTCACTGGTAGGGTGGCCCCATGCACGCCCAAAGCCTATCTCCTATCTCTCCAGCTTGGAGCAGCTGGGGAGGGGCAGGAACATGGCAGAGAGGTAAACAGGAAGGAGAAATAGGGCCTCTCCTCCACATTTTTCTGGGTGCTTTCAAAGACTTTTCATTTCTTTCTTCTGCTCAATCTGTAAAAATGTCCATTTTACAGATGAGGGGAGAGAGATTCAGAGAGGATGTGAACACAACTAAGGTCACACAGCCATAGAACCCATCTTGCCTGTTTCCTGGAGGAATATTATTTGTCCTGTCCTACATATGATGCTGGAAGCTCTGAGGAGGGTGAGGCCCCCTACTGCCTTCCTCAGCTGCAGGGCTCTAGAGCCATTTTTCAGAGACAGAGTCTATGAGATATGCTCACAAGAGCACTGGACAGGGAGCCAGATCTGGTATCTGACTGGTGCTCTGCCTGATACTGGTGCATAAGCTGGGGTTCAAATCCAGAATACCCTGGTCTGTGACCCTGATCTGTGAAGAGAAGCAGTGAGCCTGCCTCCCCAGATGGCCACTTTGAGGGCTGTGGGCACTTTGGCTGATGTGATAGTTCAGTTTGTGTGTCAACTTGGCTGGGCCTGGTTGAGTGGCTGGGCAACTGAATGTAGTTATTCCCCATGGTAAGATTGGTAATTAACTCCATGGTGGAATGTACTGGAGCAGCTGAGTAGCTGCGTTAGGGATGTGGTCTGCTTCCCGTATATAAGAAGCAGTTTTGGGAATGGTCTCTAGCTTATGGCACGCTCGGACCCTGCATGAAGCCATGTCATTGTTCAGCAGCCTGCCATGCTCTGCCGACCTTGGGACTTTCAATGGACTTGAGTTAATGGTCTGCCGTGTGGTTTGGTAACATCGGGACTGTGCCTTTTTATTTGTTGACCTTGGGCTTGTTAGCCTCAGCGGCCAGTAGCTGCCTGAGTGAAGAAAAGCCTCTAACTTCAGTGGGCCAGGAGCAAGAGGCAGAGCTGAAGCCCAAGGTTGAGGGGCTTTCACCCAGCCCCTAGAGCCTGGCACTTTGAACTCAGACTTAAAGCTTCCAGACTATAAGAAAATGAACTGTTTGTTAAAGTCATCCCATTTGTGGTATATTCCTGTCAGAATGGTACTAGGTAACCAGAATAGCTGGGATGCTGGTAATGTGTTCTGGGGATCTGGCCTGCAGAGCCTGGTCAGAGGAACCTCAGAGGACCTGGTCTCTGCCAAGTCTCTGCAGGGTGGCCCAGTAAGGGGAGTCACGGGACCACTGGGCTATTCAGAGATAGAAATGGCTGACTTGCTAGATAGTGAGCTCACCATCCCTGGAGGTATGCAAGTAGAGGTAGTCACTTGGCAGAATTATGATATCAGGACCTCAAGCACCCAGGTGTGCAGAAGAACCAGAGATCTCCCATTCTGCCCTGAGCATCCATGACTCTGGGTCTGATAAGGAATATTATAAGGGAGTCTTTCTGTCCATGCACCATCACTTAGTCATTCAACAGCTCAATTCTGAACACTTTTCCTCAGCCCTGGACATTCGGAGCTAGTCCCTGCCCTAGGTGACAACCAGGAAGGTCATTGTGGTTACAGAGCCCAGAGCAGGGAGTGGGAGCTTTGCTGGGGGTGGGACAGATCAGAAAATCTTCCTAGAGAAAGGACAAATGGAGATTGACTGGCGGGGAAGGGGAAGTAGGAGAGAAGGGCTTTCTCTGCAGAGACAGAGGAGGCAAGAGGTATGGTGGATGCATATAGGTAACTACTGCAGGGGCAAGGATGGTGGGATGGAGAGAGGAGAGGTTGGCAGGAGCCAGCTCATGCCAAGTTTTGACTATGTATCTGTTGCACCCAGGAATCCACAAGAGTGTGGGCCAGGGCACGAACTCTTTCCCCATCCCCAGCCTTCCTTACTCTTGGCACACAGTATATTTTTACCTTAACCTCTGCTAACAGCCTCTCTTCTCCTGTCCCCATAGGACACCAAAGGTGATTACCATCCCCACCTACGAGGAGGCTGTGTGCTGCCCACTGGCTGTGGCTGGTGGAGGGCTGATACCACCTGCATATCCCACAGAGAAAGACCTGAAGTGCAGTGCCTCAGGGGATGCCCCACTTGGTACCCAGCCCCCCTGGCCTCCACCCAGCTACGAGAGCATTGTCTTCGCCCCTGATGCCGTCTTTGGAGAGACAACACCTGGGGCTGCATCCTCCCACCCCCGCCTGTTCCTTCAGACTGCAGGGGGAGGAAGCTAAAGGCTCCTTTACAGGCCCTGACGCCAGAAAACAGACATGCAGGTGCCTCTTCCAGGGTCTGGTGCAGTACCTGGTACACAGCAAGCATGCAATAAATGTTTGTTGCTAAAGGCTGTTTTATTTCTCAATTGCCATATAAAAAACCAACCCAAAACAGTGGCTTAAAATGACTCCCATTTTATTATATCCCATGATACTATGGGTTGCCTGGGCCCAGCTGGGTGGTTCTTCTGTTCCATGTAATGTCGGTGGGCTGCAGTCATCATGAGACTCGATGTTCAAGATGGTACATTCACACGGCTGGCAGTTAATGCTGGCTGGCAACTGCTCCTCCAAAAAAAAAAAAAACTTTTCGCCGTCAAGTTGATTCTAACTCATAGTTACCCTATAGGATAGAGGAGAACAGCCCAATAGGGTTTCCAAGGTGAAATCTTTACGGAAGCAGACTGCCTCATCTTTCTTCCCTGGAGCAGCTGGTGGGTTCCAACCACTGACATTTTCATTAGCAGCCAAGCACTTAACCATGGAGCCACTAGGGCTCCTCTGTGATACAGATGAAAATAATTGAGGGCTACAGTTGGAGACAGGGCTAGCCCAAGGTCAGACATTGAGGTGAGGTTATAAGGAAAAGAACACTGGCTCTGAATTCAGACCACATAGGAGCTCTGGGAGCTTAGTGCCTAAGGCACTTGACTGCTAACCAGAAAGCTGGCAGTTCAAACCCACCAGCCACTCCTCAGAAGAAGGTTGGACAATCTACTTCCGTAGTGATACCACCTTGAAAACCCAAGGAGGGGTCACTATGAGTTGGTGTAGACTTGACAGCACATAACAACATGCATGGACTGTGCCATGCACTGGTTTAGTGACCTTGAACAAACAACTTTACCTCTCTTCCCTTCAGCTTTCCCATTTGAGAAATGGAAATTACAGTGACACCAGCCCCCACCTCAGAGTCACCATGAGGGTTAAATGAGATGATAAACCAAACTCACTGTCATGAGTCGATTCCGACTCATAGTGACCTTCATTGGGTTTCCGCGGCAGTAAATCTTTATGGAGGTATATTGCCCCACCTTCCTTCCATGGAGCAGCTGGCAAGTTTGAACTGCTGACCTGGTTAGTAGCCAAATGCTTACACACTATGCTACCAGAGCACCTTAAATGAGATGATAGCAGCTGACATTTGAGTTCTTACTCAGCAGGCTTAGGCCTAACAGGTGAATTAAATGCAGATCCCTTAGCCCAGTGCCAGGTGTCTCTTAAGTAAGCAGAGGTGACCTCCCCATACTATGTGTGCATTTGGCCTCTGCCCCCATACCTCCTGTAACAGGGACCTGGGTACCTCCCTTGTTTTCTAAATGTGGCAGAAATACCTGTTTTCTGTCCACACAAACTACATTGCTACCTCTCCACCCTATCCCATTTCACAGGGGAGAAAAACCAGCTCAGAGAGAGTAAGTCACCTGCCCAGGGTCACAGAACAAGCAGAGATTCCAAACCAAGTCATGTGTTGAATTCAAAGCCAAATCTGCCCAGGGGCAGATTTAGGCCCTTATCCTGGCCCTGCAGCACCTTGGGGCTGCTCCCTGTGAGCTTCATGAACTGAAGGACCCTAAGGAAGAGGCTCACAGCAGGGGCCCCATGCTGAAGACACTGGCTTTCATTCCTGGAGCAAGTGGCAAAGTTTACTCCTCTCAAACCAGCTCTGGTGGCATAGTGCCTAAGGCATTTGCTAACCAGAAGGCTGGTGGTTGGAACCCACCAGCCGCTCCTCAGAAGGAAGACGGAGCAATCTACTTCCATAGTGATACTGCCTTGGAAACCCAAGGAGGGGTCGCTATGAGTTGGATCTGACTCGATGGCAGTGAGTTTGGTTTGTTTTGGAAAACCAGACTGGCTTTTCCACATCTAATAATGACAACTTTTTTTTTTTTTTTTTGCTCAAAAGTCTTTCCAGCATTTTTTATTTATCTCTTTCCCTCACATCCATATCCAATAAACTCTTCAAAACACCTTCAGAATTGACTGCATCTCACTGCGAGGTCCAAGCTCCACCATCTGGGCCTGAATCATCATGTAGCCGCCCATCCAGTCTCCCTGCTACCACCCATGTCCCCTGCAGTCTAACCTCAGCTCAGTGACCAAAGTGAGCCTGTTCACACCCAGGTGGGATCACAACCCTCTCTCCTGGCTCAGAACCCTTGTGGTGTTGCCTCACTTTGAATAATGAAAGCCCTTACAGAGCCTGCCCTCCCTCCTTGTCTCTGGTTCCCTAGCTCTCTCTGCCTCCTCACCCTCTGGTTCCAGCCATTCCCACCTGGGTCTTTGCACTTGCCTTTGTCTGCAGGAAGCTCTCCCCTAGGGCTCGCTCCTCACCCCTTCTCCTGAGGCCTTCCTTGGCCACTCTGTTTAAAACGGAATCCTGCCTGCATTCCCCGCACTCCAGGCTTACTTCCTGTGTTATTAGTCCTCTCCATGTTTGTCACCATTTAAAATGTTCTATATTTTACCTTTTCAATGTGTTTTTAAAAATGTTTATAGTATGTTTCTCCCCAGCACAATATAAGCTCCACTAAGGCGAGGAATTTTTTGTTTCCTTCCTTTGTGATTGTATCCCTAAAACCTAGAAACAGTGCCTGGCTCTTGGAACATACTCCACAGATATTTGTTGACTGAACTACTGAATTGATAAATGTCAGGCCATCCAAGTCCACCCAGAGTGCCTCAGAAGAAAGGCCTGGCTGTCCATTGCTGAAAAATCAGCCACTGAAAACCCTATGGAGCACAGTTCTACTCTGACACACTTGGGGTTGCCATGCATCAGAATTGACCAACTGGTTGTTTGGTGTTATTACCGTTATTGAACCGTCTCTCAGTAAATGGTTGCCACCATGCACTCAGCCACACAAGCCAGACCTTGTGCATCTTCCATGACCTCCCCCAGCCCCACAGCTCTTCCTCCTGGGTCCCCTCATATGCCTTCCTCCCTTCTTCTCCATTTCTCCTGTCATTGCCTTGTCCTTCTCAGTATTACCCAGGCCAATCTAGGAGTGAGGAGGCATGGTTTTCAACCCCGCCTCTCCCCTGCCTTGCTGTGTGACTGTGGGCTAGTCACACATACACCCCTCTCAGTTTTCCATCTGTATCAAAAGGGGAAGGCCCTCAACAAGATGGGTTGACACAGTGGCTGCAGGGATGGGCTCAGGTACAGCAGGGATCATGAGGCTGGCGCAGGACCAGGCAGTGTTTCCTTCTGCTGTGCGTGGGGTCTCCATGAGTCGGAGACAACTCAGCACCTAACAACAGCAGCAGCAGCAGCATTGGAGGAGGAACTTTATCAGGCCCTCTGCAATTCCTAAAGAGTTAACAGTGTCCCAGGCTGGGAAGCTGAGCCTTCCTTCCCTCCTCACCCCAAAGTGAGGAATTTCCCAGGAGGCAGGTGAGTTAATATGTAGCAGGTGTGACCAGGAGGTGCCACTTTTACCAGGCTGCAGCTGGCAGGGGCAGGGCTGGGGAGGCTGGAAGACTGGAAAGACCTTTCTTGCTTTTCTCTGTGTATCAGCTCATCTGGGCCCTAAAGCCTCAGGAATCACTGTGTCTGCTGCCTTTGTTTCCCAGATGAGGAGAGTGGGACCAGGGAGGAGACTGGCTCAAAGTTACCAGTGCCTTGGAGGCAGAGCCAGGGCCATGGACCCCAGTCACCTCACTGTGACTGGGAGACTCTTGTGTCTGCTGGCTGGCCCATGCAGGGGTCAGGAAGTCACATAGGGGCAGGGTCACAGCTCAGCAGCCCCCAGAAAGTACCGGTTTATTTCCTGATCTCTTTCTTCCTGGTCCCAACTGTCCAGTTTCTTCACCACCATGCAGACCCCACATCCCTGGTGCCTGATACCTGGGCCTTGGACATCAGGGGCCTTCACAATATTTACTGTACTTGAGCCCATCATCGCAGCCACTGTGTTGATCAATCTTGTTAGGAGTCTTCCCCTTTTTTCAGTGACCCCCCTACTTTACCAGGCATGATATCCTTCCCCAGGTACCAATTACTTCTGACAATATAACAGAAGTAGGTGAGACGAAGTCTGGTCATTCTAGCTTCTAAGGAGGATTCTGGCTGTACTTCTTCCAAGATAGATTTGTTCATTCTTCTGGCCACCACTCATCTGTCAGTTGTCATACTGCAGTAGCTTGCACGTTGATGTGATGCTGGAAGCTATGCCACCAGTGTTTCAGTTACCAGCACCATCACCCATGGTGGATGGATTTCAGTGCAGCTTCCAGACTAAGACAGATTGGGAAGAAGGACAGGGCCGTCCACTTTAGAAAAAATCGGCCACTGAAAACCTTATGAATAGTGGTGAGACATTGTCTTGCAGGCCATTTTAAGTCCTTTAGCTTTTACTCTGATAAGACAGAGAATCATTTCAGGGTTCTAAGCAGAGGTGACATGATCCGACTTGGCATTTGTGTTGGAAGGGTCAAGAGTGGAAGTAGAAAGATCAGTTAAGGGGAGAGGTGGTGGAGGCTCAGACAAGATTGGTGAGCAGTAGTAGGGGGTGAAGAGGGATCAGATTCTTATATTTTGGAGGTAGAGCCAACATGATGCAGATGTGAGGAGGAAGTGAGGACAGTGGCTTGGATATCTAGCTGGGAAGCCTGGATAACCAACTGGAAGGATGGCACTTGTTGACCTGGGAGGAGCAGGTCTGGGGAGCAGGGGAGAAGCATGCAATGCAGAACAAGCCTGTGCACAGCATTTGGAGTTTTATCTCCAGCCTTGTACCAGTGCTTTCTTGCCTCTGTGCCTTTGCACATGCTAGTCCCTTTGCTATGGTGGGGGAGTGCCTAAGGCACTTGACTGCTAACCAGAATACTGGGCGTTCAAACCCACCAGCCACTCCTCAGAAGGAAGACAGGGCAATCTACTTCCAGAGTCATACTGCCTTGGAAATCCAAAGAGGGGTCGTTATGAGTTGGATCCGACTCCACCGCAGTGAGTTTGGTTGGGTTTTAGTTTAGTCACTTTGCCTGGACTATTTTTCCGGCTGTCAAGAGAATTCCAATTCGCTTCTCAAAGATCCCTTCTGTGAATCTGTCCCCTCAGTCTACCCTCGTAGACACATGCTGTGTTGTCCACATGCTGGACCTCACGTGTATCTCAGAGCATTTGCCACATTGTCCCAGAAGGGAGAACTGAGTGCCCTCAACCTCTGAGGCACCATGTTTAGCAGCATTCCTCACACCTGAGTGTCTTCATATACTAGGTGCTCAGTGAATACCTAAGGACTTGGTTTGAATCCTGGTTCTGCCATTTATAAGCTCTTTGACCTTGGGCTGCCCACCTTGAGGCA